CGCACAGCCCCGCTCCCCAGTGCTGCCCCCCAAGGCCCCACCAAACCGCTCCAGCCGCTCAGCCTGGCCCCAGGGTCTGCGGCCACTGGCAGTGATGCCTTGCTGGCCCTCCTGGACCCCCTTAGCACATCCTGGTCGGACAGTACCCTTCCACCAGGCCCTACAGCCCCAAATGTAGCTACCCCATTCACCCCCCAGTTCAGCTTCCCCCCCGCGGGGACCCCCACCGCATTTCCACAACCATCGCTCAACCCGTTTGTCCAATCTGTGCCAGCGGCACTGCCCGCCATGTCCCTGGTCTCCACGCCGGCCAGGCCTTTCGGGGCCCCTCCTGCTTCCCTGGGGCCAGCTTTTGCCCCCAGCCTCCTACTGTCCAGCTCTGGCTTCTGCCCCCCACATAGATCTCAGCCCAACCTGTCTGCCCTCTCTATGCCCAATCTCTTTGGCCAGATGCCCATGGGTGCCCACACCAGCCCCTTACAACCACTGGGCCCCCCAACAGTTGCCCCTTCAAGGATCCGAACGTTGCCCTTGGTCCGTTCAAGTGCCAGGGCTGCTGAGGCCAAGCAGGGGCTGGCCCTTAGGTCTGGAGACCCCCCACTCATTCCTCCAAGACCCGCCCAGGGCCTGGAGCCAGCACTGCAGCCCTCTGCTACTCAAGAGGCCAGAGACCCCTTTGAGGATTTGCTGTGGAAAACCAAGCAAGACGTGAGCCCGGCCCCGGCCCCTACCCCAGGCTCGGTGGAACAGCTTAGGAAGCAGTGGGAGACCTTCGAGTGAGCCAGGCACTGAGGCTGGGCGGCCGAGCCCAGCAGGGTTGTCGCCACCCCAGCTCCTAGGCCAGAGGCCCTGCTCCTGCCGCTCCATTCTGCCCAGGCTCTGCTGGTGAGGAGGGATGGGACCCTCTCTGCCTCCCCACCTCCCCTCCACATGCCCATCTCTGAGGTCTGGCCTTTGGAGAAAGGCACCAGTTCTGGCCCGCCTGCCACCACCTCTCCCCAGCACCTGTTGGGTTTTGCACTAAAAAGGTCAGCTGGGCCAGTGATTGCCCCAGACCAGTCCTACCCACCTTCCCTCTGGAAACCTCCAGGCCTCTCCTCCCGAACTCTGTTCTGTCCTGCCTGGCCCGGCCCTGGACACCCCACCACCACAGGCACAGGTGTCAGTGTACCTGCAGCCTGAGTGTGTCTGCACGGTTTGGAGTTTGAAGTAGGAGCGACTGGCGGGGCATTTCCAACCCTCTAGCAATACACACACTGGTTCTTTGTGAGTCTTCACCCCAAACTTCAGCTGTTTCTGGCTTGGTTGAGAGTTGGGGGTGAGGGATCCTTGAGATCCCTAGTGATAGCCAACCCCAGCCCCAGCCAGCCCTGTGTGGGCTGGCAGCTCTGATTGGTAGGCGGAAAAATAGCGACAGGTTAATCTGAATGCATCTGAAGCTGGAGTCGGCCATTGCCGGCGCTCTCCCTTGATCCTGTGGGTTCTCCTGGTCTTGTGTTTCTATCTAATGGGGCTCAGCCTCTTGTCTTGGGGGCTGTTGGGGCAGAACTGAGCAGCAGGCACTGTTCCAGCTGGAAGGCCAAGCTTGACCCAGGAGTCCAACTGCCCGGGGTCAGGAAGGAGCGGGCCCTGCGCCCTCCTCCAGGCCCCGGGGAGGGACTAGCAGCCTGGAGGGAGGGCTGGAGCACCCGCCCTGCCCCCTCGCAATCGCAATCTCGCCAGCAAAGAAATTCCTGAGGCCAATGTCACCAAAGCTAAATTGAAATGTTTTGTTATTGTTTCTCTTTCTTTTCCTTTTTACTTTATTGATTTAATGAATCCGGAAATTGACTAGTTTCAATAAACCAAGTTGAAATGTGACCCAAACATTTAAGAAAACAACCATCTGAGACATGCAGGAAATTGTGAGCATTTTGACCTGATTTCTCATTTCCTATTTGTGTTGGCCAGACCGTCTCAGAGGTATCTGATGGGGCAAGGAGGTCTCTGGAGGCCCCCAGAACCCCAGGGAGCCTTGTTGGTGACTGAGGGGCTGGGAGGCCACCCCTGGGTGGGTGAGGCCTGCCCTGAGGTTCGCTCTGATGAGGGGTGTGAAGAGCTGCTGGTCCCCGCACACAGCTCCTTCTGGAGTCAGCCATGGCCCCTCAGGCAAGTCTTCTGTGAATCTCCCAGCTGCTTGGGAGAGGGGTGGGACAGGTGTGTCAGGTGGGGCTGTGGGTACCTCCAGGACACTCAGGTGTTTCTGTAGATTCCAGTTCTGAACCCCGTTGGGGACAGGGAAGCCCACCTGGTGGGCGAATGAGTCAAGCCGTACTGGTGGCCCCAGGAGCGGAGCCCACCCCGTGATCTCTGGCTGCGCTGGGGCTGATGGCTGCTCCTTGTTCCCATGAGCAAACCAAAGGAGGAAGCTCGTGTGAGCGTTCAAGCTCCTTGGGGAAAAGGCTGGTACCCTGTGTCCTTGAGGAAGGGAGGGAGGGAGGCCTCAGCCGTCTTCAGGACCCCTCCTGTGGCGGCGGTGGCCACCGCGGCAGCCAGGGAAGCATCTGACCCCTGGCCCACGCCCAAGCTTGTTCTCATTCGGGCCTCTGAGGCCTCTCCCCTCCCAAGCAGGGCATCGGGTGTGCTGGTCCCAGGCCTGCTGGGTCCCGGAGTAGGGCTGCGGGTCACCTGTGCAGAGGGTGCCCAGGAAGGAACACGTTCAGGGGATATCTGGAGGTCGCCCCCACAGATCTCACTAGCGAGGGAACCTTGGCACCTGCAGCTCTGCCGGTGTCTCGTTGGTGTTGGAAAGGGAGATGCACCGAGTGGGCGAGAAGCACACCCATTATCTGTCCCCTCCCCCGCCCCAGGCTGCCTGGAGAATGACGGTGCCTTAGGAGCAAAAGGAAACCATGGGGCTCCCCGCAAAAAAGAGTGGCCCAGATTTTATATGTTGGGGTTCCACATAAAATATCTTAGGAACAAAGGTTGGCCAAATCCTAACCACAGCAGTGCTGTGGCTCAGTGGTTGGTACCAGAAGTGGCCTTGGCACACTGGCACAGGAGGCACTGGCCTGGCACACAGGCAGGACGAAAGGGCTGTGAAGCCCTGCGGAGGCCAGGCACTCAGGCAGGTAGGTATCCCCCGGGGATCAGAGACCCCAGTGTGAGGGCACCACCGAGAAGAGGGGAAGCAAAGTTCCTGCATGTGTGACTGCAAGAGCAGCCGACACAGGCGGCGCCAGCACACCCGAGGGCCTCCCTCGAGTCCTCCCCTGGGCCCTCCCAGAAGCCTTTAGCGATTGGGCTGCAGGTGAAGGAGTGGTCCCCGCAGAAGAGCTGGAGAACCCAGAGCTGGGGGGGGGGGCTGCTCCTTCATCCTCATCACCCCCAGGGAAGCCCTTTCCCCCCCATCTTTCCCTCAACTCCTGACACCTAAAAGGACACCCAGCCAGCCTTCACAGCAGACCCGAGTTTAGTGACTTCAAGTTCTTTCCCACTGTCATCCCCACTGATCCTCACAGCCCTGCCTGGGAGGGGGCGGGCTGCTCTCCCCTCTCCCATCCTCATCACCCCCAGGGAAGCCCTTTCCCCCCATCTTTCCCTCAACTCCTGACACCTAAAAGGACACCCAGCCAGCCTTCACAGCAGACCCGAGTTTAGTGACTTCAAGTTCTTTCCCACTGTCATCCCCACTGATCCTCACAGCCCTGCCTGGGAGGGGGCGGGCTGCTCTCCCCTCTCCAGGTGACAGGCCCTGAGGAGGCTGCCTGGCCCAGACACCAGCAGCATCCCCGCCTCCGCTCCTCCTCTGCCCTGGCCGTGGTCTGTTCCTGCAGACAGGTCCTGAAGCAGCATTTGTTCAGGGAGCCGGGAGCACCTGGCCGCTGGCTGTGGCCTCCCTGATTCCCCAGCTGCCTCCAGAGGAGGGAGACTGGGACTGGGGCCTTGGTCCTTGGGCAAGCCCTGGTCTGGCCTCCACAAGAGTGTGCGGCCTTGGCTTGCCCCTGCCCGAGCGGTGAAGGTCCCCACCGCCCAGCCGTCCCCTCGTGGGATGGCCTGCACCCACTACAGTCACCTGCACACACAGCAAAGACGTGGACACGCCCACGAGCCCAGTCCAGCACACACACCCATATCTGTAGATCAACAGTCCCCAGGTACACAGCCATACCGTGCGCGCACGCGCACACACACACACACACACACACTCCTGAACACGCCCTGTGCATCACGTGTGCCCTGCCCTGCCCTGCACAGCTGCACATCTGCTGAGGCAAGGCCTGGTGGGTCCGAGGGATTCGTCCAGCCTTGCCAGGCCCTCTCTGCTGCCCTGAGTGCCCCCCTTTTCCTCAGTCCACGGTGGGACAGAGGCAGGGGGTGCCAGCAGAGGGGACACTTCCCAACAGGTATGCTGGGCCCTACACCAGCTCCCAAGGCCTGGAAGGGGCAGCCACGTCCCAAAGGCCTCCTGGAAGCGGCCTCCTAGGGTATCCAGGTGGAAATTGTCCGTGGCCTCGTAGGTGCTGGTGCTGGCAGCCAGGCCTAGATGAGTCTCTCCTCGGGCGGCACCTTGAGGACACTGTCCATCTCCAGCCGGGCCCCGGCCACCTCCTGCTGGCTCGGGCTGTAGGTGCCCTCTGACTGGCGGCGCTTTCTGGCTGCCAGGATCCCTGAGAGGAGGCCCAAGAGGAGGAGGAGGAGGCAGGCACAGGCTGCAGGCACTGCCACCTCCAGCAGCGGGAACGGCAGTGGCAGCGGCAGGTCCTTCTGCAAGAGATATGAACAAGGAGGCCTCAGGTAAGGGAGGCGGGGAGGAGAGAGCAAAGGGGGCACAGGACTTGCTCAGAGGAAATGAGAGCTATCAGGGAGGTAGTGGGAGACCTGGCCCTGGGGGTATACAAGCAGGTGCCAGGGAGCCACCGTCAGAGCGACTGCCAGGAGATTCCTATATGACAAAGGGGTTCTGGCTGGAAGGAGAGAAGACGTTTATTGACCACCCAGTCCGAGCTCAGCACAGTGCTTGGACTTCACGGAAGCCTCACACCACGTGGTGAGGCAGCAGGGAGAGCACTCCTCACTCCAGGAGCTGAGTCTGGTTTATCTGTTCCCTGGTGTTTCCCAAAAAGCTGGGAGCAGGGCCTGCATGGTAGGCCCTTGGTGGGTAGTAGGTGAGAAAACAGGCTTTGCCCAGACTCCCCAGACGCGTGACTAGTTGGTGGCAAGCCAGGACTGGCACTTCTCCGTCTGCCCCCAACACCGCGCTGCCATCCTTCAGCTTCAAATCCCGGTCAAGGCCCTTCTGTCACTGGCCAGCGTGGGCCTCAGTGCCCAGCCCTGCCATGTGGCTCCTCCTCCCGACAATAAACTCATTCAAGCTGCAGCAATGGGGACTTGCTCCCTCCCCATCCTGAAGGTGGCCTGGTGTTTGACAGTGACCATGGAGACCAGGCTTAACCCCAAAGCGTGAGAATCTTAGGCAACAGCCAGAGAGGCTGACTGGCTGATGGTGAGCGCAGAATCCAGCAGGGCCTGCTCCCCCACCTCATGGAAGCTAGACCAGGCTTTGGGGGGCCCTCCTCTCCGTCTCCCCAGTCTCCCAGGGTTTCCCCATCAAGGAGTCTGCAAGGCTGGAATTCTGAAGTCCCGGAATCACAGACACCCAGGATTCCAGAGCCACAGGTCTCCCTCTCAGGCCCCGGTGACCTGGGTCCCAAGCCCAGCACACAGCCCTGGAGAAGGGTCCAAGGCTGCAGATAAAAGGGGGCCCTCACCAGCCGCCACCAGGCACTTCTGGGGGAGTTGTAAAGCCATTATCTCCCGGGCTCTGGGAAGGTGGGTGGGGGAGCCAGAGGCTGTAAAGTTCCACTTGAAAGGAAACAGTCTCCAGAAGCAGAGGGAATTTGCAGGTTTATGACCCGGGCTGCCAGAAGCCTGCGGAGATCAAGGCTCCAGCCCAGCCTTCCCTGCCCACCTCCCCTGCAGCCAGCACCCACTGTGGGTTCATGCCTGCAGGGCCAGCTCCGCCCCTTAGTGGGGAGCCCACCAGAAGGAGGTTCAAGCTCAAGCTGCCCGTGGGCCCCTCCGCAGCTGAGCGTCCTGGGGTCAGGGGCCAAGCTCACTCTGGCTCAGACCTGGGCTCCTCAAATCTTTTTACTCTAGAAGCCCCCGGAGATTACAGCCTCCGTGTTCACCAACCTAAATCCCTGATTCCAAGATCCTGTGGGTCCTGAATCCTGCCCCAAATCGGGCTTGATGGAGCCCAACTATTTCAGCCCCCAGGGGATGGTGGGGACCTCCGGGCTCTCCCTGGAGTGAAAATGCCTCCTGGGTGGGGTTCATGGAAGGGACCTGGGTCTCCCCTGCTGCTGCCCACCCCACGACAGGA